TTTCGATTATTTCATTTGATAATTTTATTTGTTTAAAATGCAAATTGTTTCTTTTTTGGCCAGGGCTAATTTTCATTTGCGGATTACCGGAATGAGTGCGAAATTATTTAAATGGTTTTCCGCATTTATTGCTGTGAGATACAACCTACCATTGATTGGATATATTTTAAGGCCCTTTGATTTATTTCTGTATTGTAATTGAACGCATATGTACATGTGTGCATCGAACACTTAAGCTTCTTGAAGCTTAATGGCTGAAAGTCCTGTATTGTGCTTTAAATAAACGCTAAGAGGAAAATGTCTACTGCATATTATAAGTTTAAAACTACTGAGAGAATGTCTTAATTATTACCGAAATATATGAAGGTAAACAGCATCTTTAAATAATAATAAGCAAGTTGTCATTTTGTATAAAGTTAACTACGGTGAGTTAAAAGCTGCAGGATTTGAGTAAATTCGTGAGTTGTCAGTTAAGCCCTTAGTTTCCCCAATATTTTCCATAAGCCCCCATCCCTTCATCCTTTTCAGCTTGTCACTTTAGCCAAAGGCTGATTTTTGACCCATACCCTTTCACTCGAACAGCTTTCACTTCCCGTTGGCACAAGGACCTCGCTAAGGTCGCTGCTCCTTACACTGTTTTCGAGATCCTTCGGGGCGCATTGCCGCGTTTATGTGATTCAATTTACTTCGATTAGGCATTCCAATCGGTGGGTGGAGCTGACAGATGTGCCTTGTCATGGCTGACAGATTTATATTAAGTCGGGCGGGAGCGTTTGAAATTAAAATGGCTTTTGCTCATCAAGTTCCGTTCTGGAGCGATGAGCGCGCGAAGGAGATCAACCTCCCAGTGTGACAGCTGTTGCTGTGCATGTGTGCGTGTGCGTGTGTGTTTATGTGTGTGTGTGTGGCATATTTGGATATTGTATATGGTATATTGCATATTAGGACAGGACATTCCAGCAAACAGCCAAAACTGTTTTATATCCGGTTGCGACGCCGGTTCCAACTTTTCCGTCGTCCAGACTACACCACGTGCCCGCCGGGACTTCTTCCGCCGTCCGTCGTCCTCCTCCTCGGCAATCCGGGCTCCTGGATCCTTGGCCTTCAGCTCTGTTCCTCCTCCAAGCTGTCACGTCCCCGTCTGATGGAGAACTGTCAACTTTATTGCTCATACACAGCACGAATTGTTTTAATTGTAATTTTTGCATTTTTTATGCAAGCATTTATGAAAAGAAAACTGTTTACTTCACATATTTTGAATAGAACCTTGCTTAAATCGCATAGGAAACAACTAAGACGAAGTAAGAATTAATCGATAGAATTATATTTTTTGATCTCTTTTGACTTAATAACCTAGTATGTAATATTCAGTGGAGTTATTTTAGTGTAGCGATTGTCTCGTCTGTCAATCTCCGTCACCACGTAGCCCAAAACTTCCGGACAGCACATATTTTGACTCCGGCATATGGTGAATCGGATTTTCCAAGCAGAAATTTTCCGGGGGAAGCCTCCATTATGTGCACGGCACTGCACGTGCCTCGTTTTTGTGGATGGGGGGCGGAAAAGCGTGGGAGGGAAAGGGGGAGAGGGCGTTAAGCGCCCAGGCGAACAATTGAAAAATTAACAGTATTTATTTATGATGAACAACAAAAAGAAAGAACTGCGAACCCGATGAAGCTCATTCGCAATTCTTCGCTTGAAAATCCACGCATTTTCCTCCCACCCTTTGGAATTTTCCCACCATTTCCCCGCCCAATTCACTGCGTGCTCGGCATGGAAAAGTGGCGAATAATGCCAAGGGCCAGAAGACGAAAACGGGCAGTTGCAACAATTTTTTAATTGGCGCGGAAATTGCTGATGGAATTGACGCTATGAAAGGCAATTTCGGACTACAAGCTGCAAGGCTGTTGGCCAATTTGCCGCTGAATGCAAAACGAGATGCTTGAAAAGTGCGAAGGGATAAGGAAAAGGGCTATATTGTATATTTGGAGAACTGCAAACTATCGAATTTCTGATACCTTTCACCTCAAATAAGCCAAATCCAATTCATTATTCAGCTGCTCTTGAAGTTTGGCCAATAATGCCATAAATGAAATGGGGCCAAGCCTCGATTGATACCCTACTTAAAGAAAATATCAAATATTCAAGCGGCTAACGCTGCTCAGGTGCCCTTGGGCTATAAATTTAAAAGGTAAATGGAAATCAATGCAGAATTATAGCACATTAAAGCCATAAATAAGATGGAAATAAAGGCGAACCCGATCAAAATGGGAATGGGCAAATCGAGCTGGTCATTTATTTAATTTTTCGCACGATTTCAGCATTTGCCGTTTGCTGCCTGGCAAAGGCCGCAGGCCAGGAGCAAGCGAGATGGCGCTATGGAGTAAGCGAGACGGAGACAAAGGAAGCCTGGACGAGATAGAAACATCAGTTAAATGACCGCAAAGAGGAGCAAGAAAGGGGGGTGGGAAACTGAATGTGCGTACGTGCGAGGGGTGGGTGGTGGCAAAAGGGATGAGGAAAATGCGAAATGGGAAATGGAAAAGTGGCATCGTGTGAAGTGCCGGGCAAATAAATGGGTGGTAGGAATAATATCAAGGGGTCACGGCACGGGAAAATGCAAATAAAGCCAAGAAATACTGAATACGGCAAAAGGTGAGGCACTTCGTGCAAATGAAATTACCCAAAGACCCAGAGAAACACTGAAACATATACATACATATATGAATGTACATGAAACTAAGTGCAAGCCACATGAAATGTATGCAAATGTTGCAAATGCCACCAAAGAAGTTCTCGAATTTCAAAGAAAATATGACAAACTCATTCGAATGAATTTCCCCATCCAGAAATAACAAAGATTGCGACAATTGTAGCACAGCGGAAAATTGGGGTGAGTTAACATAAAAGGCAGCAGCGAAAGAGATGGCAACAGTAACATTAGAGTCCACTTTTCCCGTCAGGGGAAATAATTGCCAAACAAACAAAAGGAAAACGCGCCGAAACCGAAAAATCATAAAAACTGTCGCTGCTTAGTTGCTCACTTGGCAATGCCATTTGTCCATCATCCAAAGGCAGAGGAAAAGCAGAGGAAAAGCAGCGGAAAAGCAGAGGAAAAGCAGCGGAAAAGCAGAGAAAAATCAGTTCCCTGGCAGAGCAGCAGCAGCGAAGTCAGCTGCTCGGCGAGCAGAGAAAATTCTTTGTGAAAATCTGCCGAAAAAAACCGCTTCACTCGATTGCTTTCGCTGGATTGCCAAAGAAGCTGGGAATTTGGGATTAAAATTGTTACTGGTCAGGGCTGAAATGATTTAATTTCCATATGAAATTGTTTAGAATTGCTTATACAGCGTGTGCTTTAAGCCAGCAGGAACCCGTTACGGAATATGACTAATTTGGCGCCTCTTTTGCGGACATTGGGGAAGTCATCTCTTGCAAGGGGAGCCGCCGTTATGATTACAATGACCCCCATGATCCTGTGTCATTCCGGCTCCTCTTACCCCTGCCCGCAAAAACCCCTTTGTCCTTTGAGCACTCGCACGTTGCTGGCAAATGCCTAGCGGTAAGTTTTAGTCCTGCACACAGGACGAAGCAGAGTTTGGGCTGAGAAACAGATACAGGCGGCCAACCAGTTAGCAGACCCGGCTTCTGGCAGTGGTTGCTATCTGTGTCTGAGGACCAAAAGGACTTAGTTCCATGTCTCCGTTGGAGCTGGGCCCGCAGTTAAAGTTGCCCAAACCCACATCGAATATCTGAGCCCATTCCGCCTGCTGACATGCCAACGTATTCCATGGACCTGGTTGACGGCACATTCAGATATCCACAACAGATGCCAGGACAGGCTCCTCTGCTGAAATTCCCACTCTCGATGCGAAGACAATGCGGCGTATGATTACTGGACTCCAGATTTGTGTGTGGTGAACTGCTTTGCGGTCTTGGTTAGATCTTTAAGGCCAGGCACACGTATCAGCTGTTATTTCTCTCCTACCCTTTTTTCTTTTGGAGGAAGTCGCCCAATTGAGTGCGCTGCAATCAGGAATCAGAGGTCATCAGACATCAGTTGTCCGGCGGAGGCGAGTGGGAATGAGAAACGGAATCGAGGACTTTGATATGACCGTCGCAATAAGCGATTGCCGGAACAAATGTCGCTGACGGCGAATCTCCGCCCTTTCCGATTGGCCAAAAAGTGTTGACAATGCCATTTCTCAGTGGACCGGGCGGGAATGCCGCTTACCGAAGGCCGAGGGCATCTGGCTCCATGGTTCCATTCCATGGCACCTCTCGAATGGTTTTCCTCATTTTTCAGCCAGTTTTGATTAATGGTCAGGCGGTTTGAGCCGGCGGCGACTTTTTTATTTGGCAATTATGTTGTTTAGACCTCGCAGCAGATTTCGCACCTCGAACATTTTTCATGCACCGAAACACGGAAACGCCCACTCATGGACTTTGATTCCATGTTTTGGGGCTTGTCACTGGCATGCGCCGTCATTAATTCTCCCATTTCCACAGCCCCCTGGGCACCCATGAATTGTCTATACCGAGCTGTTGTTGTAGCCGCTTTCATTTTTCAAAACGGACTTCGGCATTTTCCGACACTTGACAAGTGTTTTCGACTTGCGGCAGAAGGTGTCACAAGCCATGGACAGATTTGAGGTTGATTTCGATGGGCAGGATGTATGTACTTCTCAGCGAAGATTTATGCAAATGTAGAGAGTTTAAAGTTCGAGTTAAGGACTCCTATCTGGGCAATTTGATTTTATTTTTCCATGCGCAGTGAAGTTGTTTTTCGTCTACATTCAGTTTCATAACATAGATATAATCTCACGTTTGTTTTTAAGCGCAGAATTCTTTATTTAGCCACAAATACTACCTTGCGCCAGATGCCAATTACCCAGAATATTCCTGGAAAATCTGCCAAAAATAACTTTTGACAGCAGATGAACTTGGACACGTGGCAGATCCCTGCCCACAACCACCACCGGCTTTCCATGGCAATTAGCAAAATTAAATGAAGTGAAAGACTCGATTGCGTGGCATGGTAATACACAATATTATATCAATGGACATGAATAGATAGATGATATCTAAATCCGACTAGACGGCTGCGATTTCCATTGTGTGCCATTGTGGGGCAGTGGACTTTTGATATTTGGCGATAGGAAAGTCCACAATCGACGGCTGCCGAGGACCAGAGCCAAGTTATTCTTGATTCCAAGATCGTAGGTTCGATCCGAATAATCGTGCATTACCGAGTTTTTGTGCACCGTCACAATTTGAGTGCAAAACAGAGCTGCTGGAAACACAACGGCAAATATGTTGACACTTAAGACACTGATTATTCGACAGAAAACCGTAAAGTCTTGTGCGCCAGGATTTATAATCGCATTATAAATTATCAAATTGGCTGCGACTAAATCGAAAAGTCCAATACCGTGCTTATGGGCCAACAAGAAGTTATCAAATAAGGCCACTCCGCTGCCGATGGCCGCGTAAAATGAGAACCATATGAAGTATCGCTGATTATTGTGTCCCACGCAGTTGCCCACAAAATTGCAGTGGTGATCCCGCTTCAGAATGCACGCATTACAGGTATCGCAGTGCCAGGACCTTGGCGGCACTGTCCTCTGGCATATGTTGCAATAGTGCCACAGATGCTCCTCACCTTTCATCGGCTGCTGCATTTTAGGCGGCAAAGAGTCCACAGTGGTCAACGTCTTGGTGCAAAGCCTTAGGTTTCCCAGAATGTTGTAGACAATCCAAGTGGTCAACAGAAAATGAACCGACTGTCCAAAGAATCCCAAAAACTGTGGCATTACGTACAAAGCATCGAACATGTAGAAGAACAGGATAATGCAGACATTTAATGAAACTGCGAAGATATCTGCCCAGGATTTGGTGCCCTTAACGCGTCTTGGGATGCTGATGGTCTCGACTTGATCCACTGATTGCATGATGCCAAATTTTGATAATGGAAATTTTCATCCATTGGATATAAGAAAAAACTGTAATTTTAGTGAATGCTGCTGAACACTATGATCAGAATATAAAAGGCTGATAGATCATCTAACAGTTTTGCAAGTTTTAATATTATTAATACGCCACTACAATGGTAAGTGGCGTAAGTAAGTTTCAAAACCTTTTTAATGCTTGATGATGTCAGACTGTTTTTCATTCCATTGGGTACCATCGTGGAGCAAAGGACTCTTAACGGTGGGTGAGAGGAATGTCCAAAAGACTTGTTTGCCGACAATCATTTTGAAATTCTCCCATAAGCCCAAATCGTAGGTATCACTGTTAAAGTCGTGCAAAGTGCCATTAAGTATAAGTACCGATATTTGCAGAAGCATCGAAGATAGAGGGGCTGCAAGTATGTAACTATTGAGTATTAGGGTGAAGACAAGCCAATATGGAGGTAAGTTATCCCTATGAAAATCCGAGGATATCAGATCCGAAAAGCTGAAGTACTGCAGGGTAGCAATGAAATGGATGGCCCAGGCCGCGCCAGTTCCCAAGGCCATAAAGAAAGTGAACCAGAAAAAGTATCTCTGATTATTGTGCCCAATGCAAGTGGCAGTGAAAATGCAGTGGTGGTCCCGCTTCAGAATGCAGCACTTGCACAAAATGCAGTGCCAGGATCTTGGAGGCATCAGTTTTTGGCAAATATCGCAGTAGTGCCATAGGTGCTCCTCTCCCGGTTCCGGAAATTGCCGATCCTTTGGCAGACTCTCCACCGAAGTGTTTGTAATATGACAGGCCAGCATATTGCCAAAGATATTGTACATTGTAAAGATGGCCAGTAGCCAGTCGAGCTTGTACATCAATCCTGCGACATCTAACAACTGGGGCACCACGTAAAACATATGCAGCCCCACAAAAAAGAAGGTGGTCAAGATCACGAAAAGTACTGCGATCGGATGGGAGATTCTGACGAACATCTTTGGGTTTCGACGAGCCAAGTAGTTGGTGCAGGCCAATATGAAGCACATGATTCGAAAATGTTATACAATTTTTGGCTATAAACTATTGTTTTGGTGATAATGACGTGTTGAGCATTACGGAGAATTTTTCGGTACACATATAATTCTTAATTTAGAAGCATTGCTTAATTTGCCAGTGGGTTCCATCGTGCAGCAAAGGACTCTTCAGCGAGGGGGATAGAAAAGTCCAGAGGCCTCGCTGACCCATGATAAGCTTGCAGTTCTTTTGGAAACCCAGATCGTGAAGGCGACTAGAAATTTGATAGTAGGTCGAATTGAACTTTAGGATCTGCACTTGAAATCTCAGCATGAGGGCGGGAAATCCGAGTGCGAATATATTGAGAATCAAGAACACGTACCGACGGTAACTCAAGTTTATTTCAGTATTACCGAAACTTAAGCCAGCCTTCATTCTGTGCAAAAGATAAACGCTCCTACCCACATCACAAAGTAAGGTGGCCATGCTCATGAAAATTCCAAATGCCAAATAGAACGTAAACCAGAAGAAATATCGATGATTATTGTGTCCGATGCAAGTGGCTGCGAAGATGCAGTGGTGGTCTCGCTTCAAAATGCAGCACTTACACAGTGCACAGTGCCAGGATCTTGGTGGCATGAGTTTCTGGCAGATATCGCAATAATGCCACAGGTGCTCCTTTCCCGGTTCCGGAACTTGCCGCTCCTTAGGCAGACTCTTCACTGCAGAGCTTGTACGGTGGCAGGCCAGCAGGTTTCCAATGATATTGTATGTTGTAAAAATCGCAGATACCACAAAGAACTTATACATAAAACCATCGTGAACATCGGGCGCCACATAAAAGACCTGCAGCGTGAAGAAGAAAGCCGTGCCCACCAGTAGAAAAATCGCTGACAAAGGATGTCCTATGCTCACGGTCTTCTTAGGATAGAGACTGGCATATTCGCGGCACCAATCATTTACGATACACATGGTTTGATTGTAGGATTTTGTGTACAATAATGATACAGAGCTTGACTTTAGTTGAAAATAAGTTATGATTGGCTTGTTGAAATGCACACAGCTTGGAAATTTTTTTCCTATATTTAATAATACGTTACAATTTATTGTGAGACGTCCATTAATTTAGTGAGACTTCTTGATCTGCCAGCGTGCACCGTCGTGAGGCAAAGGACTCTTCAGCAAGGGCGATATAAAAGTCCAGAGTCCTTGTTGGCCCATTATAGACTGGCAGTTTTTTTGGAAACCCAGATCGTAGGTGCAATCGAAAATGTTGTAGTACGAAGAGTTTTGACTTAAAATCAGCATTTGATATGCCAGCATAAAGCCAGGCATAAAGCTGGCGCTAATATTGAGGAGGAACGCTAGGTTCTCAAAAGTATTGGCACTATAATGTTGGTAAAAAATCCAACTTATTACATCCACAATCAAAAACGAAAGCTTCTTGAAGTGCCCGCCATTCTGCAGCACATACATATAAAGGGTAGCAAAGCTTACGAGTAGGCCGAGCGTTGAATAAAATGTGAACCAGAAGAAATATCGCTGATTATTGTGTCCAATACAATTGCCGATGAATATGCAGTGGTGGTCGCGCCTCAAAATGCAGGTGTTGCACAAAACACAGTGCCAGGATCGTGGAGGGCTGAGTTTTTTACAGATTTCGCAATGGTGCCACAGGTGCTCCTCCTCCGGAGACGGGAATTGGGAATCCTTGGACAAAGTGTTCACTGATGAGCTTGTCATATAGCTGGCCATCATGTTACCAAGGATGTTGTGCGTTATGAAGGTGGAAAATATCCAGTAGAGCTTGTAAGCCAAGTCGCCAAACACTTTGGGCGCAATGTAAAACATCTGCAAAGAGAAGAAGAACGCTGTGCAGCTCAAGACGAAGATTGCCGAAAGAGGGTGACCTATTTTCACAAATCTCTTCGGGTAGCGATTAGCAAAATATTGGCAAAAACTATTTACGTAGCACATCTTTTAGGATTTTGAAAACTTATGTTGTTTAGACTGATTGCAGGATGTAGAATTACAAACATACACTTCACAGAAGAAGAAAGGCCAACTCGTAGAATAATATGTTTCTCTTTCGTACTTCCACTAGCTGAGTAACAGGTATCTGATAGTCGGGATAGTCGACTATAGCATTACATCTTTTTTTTTTTGCAATTTTTCTGATGTGATGATGTTGAAGAAATTCAACAAAATAAAGAAACACTACAGGGCTGAAGTTCTTTACTCATACATACATACATACATACATATGTACATACATACATACATACATACATATGTACATACATACATACATACATACATACATACATACATACATATGTACATACATACATACATACATACATACATACATACATACATACATACATACATACATACATACATATGTACATACATACATACATACACACATACATACATACATACATACATACATACATACATACATACATACATACATACATACATACATACATACATACATACATACATACATACATACATACATACATACAAACATATATGCATGCAAACATACATACCATACACCGGTACATACACTTCACATACACTACACATACACTACACATACAAGAGAGATTACTTGACATATTTTCTGACTCCAAATTAGAAGACATGCCTTACAGTCTGCGCCAGAACTAGTTGGGAATTATAGGGCTACAAGAAAATATTTTTCCTGAACAAATATTAAAAGCGGCAATAACTATGTGCTCCAACATAAGTTAAACATTCTTCAGGCTTTATTCAAGACAATTTTTACTGCTCACTTTAAATACCTCACTATTTCACTCACTAAGATAATTATGACAAAATAATAGATTATTATTTAATTACTTACAGCTCGAGATTATACATACATACATACATACATACATACATACATACATACATACATACATGCATACATACACCGGTACATACACTACACTCACTGCTCCACCGGTACTTGAACTATTTTGTGACTCTAAATTAGAAGACATGCCATTACAGTCTTCACTAGAACTAGTTGGGAATTATAGGGTTACAAGAAAATATGTTTCCTAAACAAATATTAAACCAATGTATGGCCGTTACGCATCTTATTATTCGAGTGTCTTTGCTTAAACTCTGCATGTTCAAAGGCTGAAGTTCTAAACTTCATAACTCAACTTATCTTTATGGGATTTTTAAGTGGAATACCTCTAAATATTTCTGGCGCAATTTACTTAAAATCTGCATTCAAAATTGGAAATTTATTTTTTTTTAAATTTTTTTGATGTTATGTTGTAGAAATTCAACAAGAAATTAAAAAATGTCCCAAGGCTGAAGTTCTAAATCGTTCTTAATCGGATATTGAAGTAGCATATCTCTAAATGTTTCTGGGGCAAAACTCTACAAAAAAATTGCATTCCAATTTTCCAATTGTTTTTTTTATTTTATTACTTTTTCCCCAATTTCTACCGATATTCCAGAAAATGTTGAAATTTCTCGTTTGCACTTCCACTAGCTGAGTAACGCGTATCTGATAGTCGGGGAACTCGACTATAGCATTCTATCTCGTTTTGGTATAAGTTTTTTCACATATATTCGAATTTGTTTGCTTTATAATATACAATATTTTACAAATAGAATTTACACTATCTGCTTCTGGCACCATCGGGTGCCATCGGTAGGAAGAGGACTTGCGATCGTTGGCGAGAAAAAAATCCAGAAACGCCGCTTACCCAGGACCATATCCATGTTTCTTCGCCAACCAACATCATAGCTGCGATCGAGTATCTCATAGCATGTACTGTTCCGATGGACCATTATCATTTGAAATATGAACATACCGACGGGGACCACAAAAAGGAATAAATTCAGTTTGAAGAGATTGGCGATGGTGTACTTCCAGTTGAAATCAGTATCTTGTGTTCGATCCCGGTATATTAGTAACAGAGGATCGGATACCAAAAAGGCTTTATTCTTCCAGTTCAAAATGCCATTGTAGACGAGCGCCTGTCCACTGCCAAAACTGAGGTGAAACAAGAAGGCGAGGAAATACCTCTGATTGTTATGGCCAACGCAATTGGCAAAGAAGGTGCAGTGGTGATCCCGCTTCAGAATGCAGACGTTGCACAATCTGCAGTGCCAGGACCTCGGTGGCACCACCTTTTGGCAGGTGGAGCAGTAGTGCCACAGGTGAGCCTCACCTGTCACAGGATGCTGTCTATCCGGAGGCAAACCCTCAACTGAAGTATTGCTCATAAAGCCGTGGCACCAGTTGCCCAATATGTTAAGGACTGTATAAATTCCCAAACACCAGCATAATTTGTGCCCAATCCCATGGGGATCGGTTATTTCCGGCAAAACATAGCATAATTCGTAGACAAACAGGAATCCAATCAGACAAAGTAAAAATATTGCCGAAAAAGGATGTACTAGACGGACAACTTTTATGCGATGCAATTGAAAGTATCGATGAAACACTTCCTCGGCCCGAAAACACATTCTTCGACAACAGGCGCAAACAGATTTTAGTGTAACTCGAAATCGTAGCATTTATCAATGACAGACAAATTGTTAAATTTATCAAATAATTTGTTGTAACCTAATAGACTTTGGACACCAGACTTGCCTCGATTTGGAAATATGTATCTAACTGGCATAATCGCATCACTCAGTGAATTGGAAAAATCTGGCATTGTACGTGGACTTTGGTGGGTGCTTTCAAATTCAATTTCTTTTCCTTTTTAATCGGATTAATGCGAAATTACGTTTTATAATTGCTGGCGTCATTTGAGGCTTATGAGGCAGAATTATAAAAAGTGAGGGCGGAACATTTTCATTTAAGTGTTGCTTTAACTTAATCTCTTCTAATAATATTCTACACTTCGAAAGATTTGGTTTATGTAGAAAATAACCTTAAAGTTACTCATATTTTTACTGTATTTACACAGCAGTGTAGGCGAAACCTTGCTTATAAATGCAAGCTTATATGCAGAAAATAAATTGGAAAAAAAAAAAAATAAAAATGGAGTGAACAAGCGCATCATCCTGGGCAAAATATGGTATTTTGCAGCAGCTGTATGTTATGTAAACAAAGAGCAGAATAAAAACAACGAAGAATGCATATCAAATACATGTAGTAAACAGCTGGCTAAAGTCGACTTCATCAGCCCACCGACCGCAAAATGGCAGCTGTTGGCCAGGTTTAGACCGCAGGAGCGAATGTTGTCTATTTCGCATAAATTTTGATGAATTATTAATATGAACTAAGCATTTTGAATGTGGCCAGCCCAGGTGGAAAGAGTGGAAAGGTGGTGAGGACGCGGTTTTTCATTTTAAGCTCACTGAGGTGCACCGCACACCTATAGAGGGAATTTTTCCTTTCGCAGTAAAGTAGAGTGGCAGTTTGCTTTTCGTTTGCATAAAATATGTACGACGGCGGGGCGGTAGTTTCCTCACTTCGTGGCTAAATGTGTTTGCCGTCTTTGGCCTAGACCGGAAGCAAACAAACAGCCATTTTGTGCTGCCATTCGACGCAGCCATTTCCGGCAGCCACTCGGCGCCGTCGATGTGTTTGTCAGTCAACCTGTGGCTTGACTTTCACCCACTCTCGCTTAGCTCTTTCTTTGACTTTCTGCGGGCACTTCGAGTCATTAGCATTTGCTGGCTGTAGGTAGAGGGGCACAAAAAAAAAAAAAAATAAGAATGAGAATGCCTTGCGGAGTTGGCAACTGCTTTTGGCCAACTTCTCGCATAATTGCCGAGTTTTGCTGCTAATTTAAGACGATTTGCCCCTATGGCAGTCAGCTCGCATTCGGCGTCTTTGTTTGATTTCATTACGAGAGGGGACTTTTTACTTCAGACAGCTGTGCCGGAAAGTTTTTCGCAGTTAGGAGTTCGCACTTTTTGTCTTCCCTGGATTTTATTTCCCGGGCTTAGGTTGGGTGTATTACTGTGTAATTTGCAAGCAATTACCTGGTAGGGGCAACCCACATTCATTGCCCCCATTATCCCATATCTGCCAGATCCCTCGGCGCGACTTCTTGGAATGTAATTGAGTTTGGAAAATGTGTAAAATTAGATATGTGCGTGGCTCGAGCCAGGAAAAGCACCTGCCAGAGTGGCATGTCATACGCATGAAGAGCCTGATGAAAATGTATCCAACCACATATCATCGACAGGAAAATACCGCTTGGTACAGGGTAATGGAATATTCTCAAGCTTTCGGAAATTACTGACTTTAGCGCTGCATTCTTTATAGGGAAAAAATATCGCAACATAAGTATAACTGAAACAAAAATGTAAATGATTGTAATACTAATATTCTACTACTGCCACTCACTTGACACTAAGAGGAATTAATTTACAAGGGAGTATTCAAATTTTTACAAGCAAAACAAAATCTGCGCAATTTCGAATTTCACAAGCGTATAGCATTGCTTTCTCCGTACTTCATTTAATGTTTTGCCATTTCAGGATAAGTAATGATTATAAGTACTGGCGCACGTGTGCCAGGTATCCCATTAATATTATTCTAGAGTAATCTTTTTTTTAGGTTAAGATCCTTTCCAGTCTCAAGCATACTCGGCAATTAAGGTGCAGCCCAAGTTGCACACTTTAATTTATTTTGCTATTTATCTAAGCTTGCGGCAAAACATTAATTTAACATATGTGGCCCTGGGAAATGGGAAACCTTTGAGCTGCTCTGGAGATTTTGCATCAGAATGCTCGGTTACCAACTGGTCTCGATTTATTGTGCTCGATTGCTCCGAGCCAATGCAGCAAGCAAAATTTTAATGAACCATCAAACGGCAATTGAAGTTGTTCAATGCTCGGTGGCAACGTTGCGTATGAGTGATTTTGCAAAGGCGAGCCAGCTGCTCTGCTCGTTCGTAGTGGAGGTTTTCCTACAGAACTCCATTTTGTTGAGTTGTTTCGGTGCCAAAATATGTGTGCCTGAATGGCATGTAAAATATTTGCCACTTGGCACACAAAATGGTATGTCATTTGGGCGAAATGAGTTGGAAGTTTCACGTAAACGAAACGAAAATTTTCCTTTTTTCATTTCGTCTTTGCAAAATATGTTTTATTTATTTATTTTTTTCTTTTTGGTTACTTCGTTTTTGGTGCCGGTCGCGACATATTTTCGCTGCTCATGTTGCTGTTTCATTTTCGTTTTCATAAATTTTTCATTTAGCTTGTCAATGTTTTGCGCCTTCGACATGTGTTTGCAATTTGCATGAGGTGAGTTTGGGTTTGGTGGCAGCACAGCGTGCTTGTGTGCCAAAATTGGAACGAACATGGCCTGTGTTTGTGTGCAGGACCTTTTCGGCTACAATGTTTGATGATTGATACTCTGTGGGCGTAAAGTATTTACCTTACGTGATTAAAGCTACCTGATACCAAAAGTTGGCAGAGGATAATTTGATTGCAAGTATACTCGTACATATGATAGGAATTTGAGCTCTGGTTTGATTTATACGGACTTCAGTGATTGAACGTAAGCATGCATAATAAACTGATAAATTGGGTGTTGTGACAGATTTAGGAAGAGTCTGTTGCATATGCTTTTGTATGTTTAAATTATTCAGCATTTAATTAAACCATGAAATATTAATTTTACAACACAGAATGGTTCAGAAAAATTACCATGCCATATTAGTTATAATAAATATAGATATGCAAATAATTGTTATTATAATTCAATGCATTTCCTTATTTCTAACCAATCCTTGTCCCTATTGTTGGTCCTGAACTGAGAGTGTTTTACTAACGTCCTGACCTCTTGGGCAACCTATATATTTCCATATTGACATCCTACAATATGTGTGAAATATTGAAAACCTAATAGTGAGGGAGAATGCCGGCTAGCACTTTGGGTTTTTCATTATTTTTCATAGATTTATTGCGAAAGTTTTGTGATTACTTTCCTTTTTATCCCGGCTGCCTCCGTCTGCTGGGGGATATTTTTTCATTTTTTATTCGCATATTTTTCATGGCATTTTTCTCGCATTGATGTCGATGTGGCTGTGGATGTGGATGTGGATCAGACCCAATTGCTGATTGACTTTGCCCCAGCTGGATGGCGCGTAAAAAGTTGTGCAAATGGCCGAGATGGGAAAATTCTTAAGAGAGACCTGAACTATTTACGTTTGGGTCGTAGGGTCTCGCATTCACGCTACTCTTGCTGAAAAGCAATTAAAAACTAATTACAGTAGCTGAATGCCGGGGACGAAAACTGCGCCAAGGCATTTAATAAAAATTTAAAACTTAATTCAGTAAATGCCAGACAGCGATGGCGACAACAACAACGCTGTCAGGTGGGTGACAACGCGGATAATTAGAGGAAAAGGCGTGGCAAGAAAAATACGAGGGGGTGGGGAAAAAGGCAGGAAAACTGCTGCCGCCACGCACACCTGACTTTGTTCTATCCGGGCAACGTGGCGTATGAGCAATTAGTAGTTAATTGTAAAGTTACCCCAAGTGAGGGGAAAACGGCGGCATGCAGTCGTGACATTGACGACAAGGATGAGCCAAGGATGGATGGCGAAGGGGGAGGGGGAGGGGGATGTGTGTAGCACAAAGGATGCGATAATTAAGTAGCAATTTTTGCCACTGCAGCTGAATTTTTAGCAGTTCGCGCGAACGTGTGAGAGCATGTGTGCGCTGTGTTTGATAAATTATCGTAATTAGCGTATCAATGGCGATAAAACAAAGTCGCGGCACGTTGAGCGACTAAGCCTAGGTAAAAATAATAAAGTAGCTACCCCGGACTTAGTGCTGGGAAAATGTCAATTAAATATTAACCTTATAACTCAAACGCAAGGCATCAGCACGGGGATTAAATTGGCAGGACTAGCGGGACGGGCAAAGCACTTTAAGTAATGCTCTCCAACTAATTGAAAGGAAAAGCCCGACTAAAGATGGCTAAAATCATTTGGCAGGATAACTAAGCAAGGCGATTAAAAGACCAACTAACCAAGAAATGAACAATGGCCACTGGGTAAGCCAAATAACAAGAAACAAAAAAAAAGCGATCAAACACGCAGGATGCAGAAACAAATGGCATACAGTCCTCGAGGGAACCCATCTTGGCCAAGTTGGCAGGACTAAGGGACGGGCACTTATGTAAGCAAAGTGAAGCCCAGCCAGGGAAGCGTTGACAAAAATCAAACAATGAAAGCGCTGTTCAATAAAAACAAAAACAGATCCAAGAGCTGGGCAAAAAATAAAAGGGGCAGAGATAAGGAGCAGAAGGCAAACGGGTAATCCAAGGCAGGGCAAACAGCAAGATAAAAAACAAAGGCAAACGGGCTGTGAAGGTTTTTTTGCTCTCATTGGGCCAAAATGAAGTGGCAACAAAAACAGAATTGTGGGCAAAGAAAGAAGGAATGTGCTGGCTAATGCTGAAGACATGGGAAAATGAAATTTAAGCGAAGTGGTATAGCACGCACACACACAACAGCCAAGCGTAATGCAAAAGGATATCAAGTGTGAAGAGCGCTTAACTCAATAAGGACTCAATGGCCCAAACTCATTTGGGCAGAGCTTGAGTCCTTTCTGCCCAGCATCCTTTGAGCGGAGAGAGCCAAAAGCTTTAAGGCTAAGCTTTCCTGCAGAGAGAGAGCCAGAGAACATGGAAGAAACATTCTCTCACAGTGTCTCTCTCTCTCTCTCTCTGAGAGAAAAATACATCCTTCTCTTCGAATGAGTTTGTTTACTGGACTGTGCTCTTAGAGTTCCTTTAGGTGGCATACTTGTAGCCATTTCAATTATTAATTCCACACTCATTGCACATTTTCCATTATAGCCCCAAGATATCTGGCAGCAATTAAAACCCATTTTGAATAAAGCAATTCGATTCAGTAGCCATTAGTTTAGTCAATATCAAATTTACCTACCTTCCACTCGATTGACAAGTTATAGACTTACTTACATGTTGGCATGGTCGGGGAATAACGAAGTGTCCTTGCTGCTTACACAATTTTCCTGGCCTGCAGGCTAATAAGTTCTCAATAACTGTCTGGAAAATGGATTTAACTCGAGACTCGGACGCACATCGTTAATGCAATTAGGACATTAACCCCTTGGTGCCAAGATGATGGATAGGGGCCGTTGGCTGGTCGTTCCCTGTGTCGTTGCTCAACTAATCCGTTTTAATTCCCACGCCTCGTCCCTTGAACTTTGACACAACCCAGAGACACGGACACAGCCGAAGACAGCTATCCATGTCGAACAGCGTCAGCGGCGCCTAAAAGAATGCTTTGTTTGTCTTTCATTATGTGGGCTTTGTTGGGGCGTGGCAGTGTCTTTGTTTTGGCCCCAGCTTTCAGCTTTCAGCTTCCAGCACTGAATAAATTACATTTTTGCTCGAAATGTATGTCGCATTCCGTGTGTCATTGACGCCGCCCTCTCCCTCAAGAGGTCATGACTTTTGACTTTGTCCGGCATGCGAAAATCACTTATTGCTTTATCAATATTTGATTACAATTACAATTGTAATTCGATTTCCATGGCAATTAAACTGCATATGCGTATTTGGTCAGTATTAGTATCTGTAAAATACTCTGCCCTCATTTAAATCAAAGGTTAGCAAACTAAAATCTTAATTAAAATTGCATCTTTCCTATTTAATGGTGTTGATATTCAAGGCATTGGAAGTTCAATTTATTGATTTCCCAGCGTGTTTTAGTTCGCACTTAATGAAATCATTTGGCGCCAGAAAAACACAACACGCAACATCAAGCATACGCCATGTGGCAAAATTCATTGACTTCTGGCCACCCTTGGCCAAAATGAAAATGTTTAGTCAAGTGTTGCCTGACCTCCTGCTCACACTCACACACACACACACTCACACACTCACTCACACACACTTACGCAGAGCACATGCTCAACTGAGCAGCAGAAAATACATAGGAAAACAGGCGCTTTTCCCATTTTCCCCTGGAGGCAGCTATTTTTAAAGCTTGGCCCTTGGACTCATGGAAATTTCATTTGCCTGCTCAGGTTCCTTTCGGCCGGATCGGCCTAACTGCGGTAATTACTCACACTTGACCCGAAGGCTTTTCCGGCCGGGCGAAATCAACTCGATGGCTGAGCTGGATGCAGATAAAATGAAATTTTCCGGTCATGCTGTACAGAGCAGCCGGGAAGTTGTAAGCTAAATATGCATTACAATGTTGCACAAGCGGTTGAAATGGCAACTGATGAAGTTATGCAATTTACGGAAAACATTTGCCACAACCCATTTTGCCGCACGTGAAAAGTCAGTTCGCTAATACCAAATAAGTCGTTTTCCACCCAACTGGTGACAAATAAATCTCGACCTGAGTTTGGCTGCTGGGTTATTAAGTAAATGTGGTATTGGCACAAGTGCGGCTTCCCATAAATTCACTTGTTATAGTTCACTAAACATACTCGCACACACGCACAAATGCGTTCAGGAATAAACAATACTTTATTTACAATGTAATGGCATATAAAATGGCTGCCTTTGCCATTTCTTGTGCTTTTTCTTTGTCTGTGTGCCACTTTTTTCAGGTTTATTTGCCAGCGGTCAGTTGCTTAATTTCTTCGCTTTTATTTGCCACAATTTCAGCATTGCAGCATTGCCACATGAATCTGTGTGTGTGTGTGTGTGTGTGTGTGTGTGTGTGAGGTGGGCGTGGCCACGCCTGCTCCAGCCCCCAGATTCATTTCCGTCCTTGCTGTGTTCTTGCCTTTCTTATTTATTTTCGTAATAACAATAAATTACATTTTTCTTTGGGTTTTCCCCTCATGCGAGTGTGTGCTTGTGTGTGTGTGCTCATTTGCTAAGTTGTTTTATGTGGCTGTCGCCTGTTTGTGGCTTTTTGACATTATTTGGATTAAGAAAATAAATCCTGGCCATGGCTGGACAGCAATTTTAATATTTTCACTCCACCCCTCCAGCGGCCAGCAAACTTTGATTTTCATTTTGCTGCGTTTTTTTTTTTTTTGCCCAGTTGTGCTTTGGGCAAACTGAAGTTTTAATCTATGGAATGGCTTATATCAAATTTTGGCTCTCTGGCATAGAAAGTTTTCCAGCCTGAACTTGTCATTTCAGCAGAAATACAATTAAACAAGGTAAATACAAAATTCCCACTCTGCCAGTCAGGATAATGCAATCGTACGTAAAAATGATAACACATAAAGTTCAGGTTTTAAAAGTAAAACGAGTTTTCTATAAAAAATGCATTGTATGTACATGTTGCCATTTTTAATTCAGCAAAATGCAACAAGCTCGAATTTTCATTTTACACATTGCATGTTTAACTAAAGACAATAATGAAAAACTGTGCTTTCGAGTAAGTACTCGAGATTTCATTCAATTTAAACCATATTTACACCTTTTTTAAGTGCGTACTCATGTAAGCGAATAAATATTGAAAGCATTTTAAGTGATAAAAGTTCCAAATATGCAAAACAATATTTATTAAAAATTATTATGACGCGATGTTAAATATTTCAAAGGTGTTATTGATGCATTTTTTTCCGAGATGCCCAAGTTGTCATTTCTACCGTATGTTTATAATTCGGTGAATATTTGACAAACATGCACTGACACATAAAAAAGCTAAAAATGACTCGGGTAAGAACCGGAAAAAGAACAATAGCAGCCGCAAAAAAATGGTGGCATCGTGATGCTTTTTACGTGCAACATTTATGTCGCATTCGAGGACGTCGCTTTATGAGATATAAAACTCATACACACAAGGAGGTACACACACTCACACAATTCTACGCACACTCGCAAAATGGCAAAGAATCGGTAAATGGCTTGCATTAGGCATAGTTGGTCTTTTCGAATTGTTATGACGTCGAATTAAGCATCGTTATGTTCTAAACTTTTATTCAGACTTTTCCTATACATTATCATTGTGAAAACTGCACAATATATATTATATCTTCTTTTCGAGCTTACATCCGAGTCCACAAAAAGCGGTAGCACAAGTACTGAGATTTCGGAGATTTCCTCTAGCTCAGCGACCACATGTGCTTATCAACAACGAAATTAATACAGAATTAAAATTTATTGTGGTTGGTGACCAGACCCTAAACCAACCGTTCTAGTCGAAGGATTCGGAATGTTTCAAGAAGTAGGGTCGCACCAGCTTGTGATAGATGATGGTGGAACCATTCTGTTTGATGGGCAGCATGCACCAGATGAGGAAAGCACACTTCAGTAGCCAGTAGAAGGGAATCATCGAGGTTAACAGGTCCGAAAAGAATTCAATGACAGTGAAGATGGCAAAAGTGACCCAGTAGATCAGCCACCTGGTGTCGTCCTGCTTTGTACTGGACTCAATGGCATGGATGGAAATGTATGCCGGGTACAGAACCCCAATAATGTTGCACAGTATCTGGGCGCCCCAGCCGAAGGTCAGGTAGAGGGCGCAGAGTCCAATAGCACCCACGAAAATATTGACCCTGTCCACGCCGGTCTTCTCCTCCATGGCATCAAAGACTTTGGTCCACGGCTTCGACGCATCTCGCAGAGATCGGCTCACATCCTGCTTGTAGCCATTGAAGAACCGCTGCACCTGAGTTACCTGGGCTGCCATTGTGTACAAATTGTATTTAAATATATCTAGTTGTCAAACTAAACTAAACAAAACAAACCGCCAACTTTCCGGATGTCAGTCTATAATTGTCTGTTTGCCCTACAAATACGGCCTAAAATTCAAGTAAAAGGCTCACAACATGGCAATAAATTAGACAATTATGGTGTGTTATACCTCGATGGGCTCAGAAGAACTTCTCCAACAAAACTGCATTTAAATTAAAAAAAATTTTTTTTTTTTTTTTTTTTGATTTTTTTAATCTTTTTCAAAAATTGAAATTTGGTCGAAAAAAAATTTTTTTGTAAATAGTTTGAAAATGTTACTCAGTGTTTGTCGAGTATTTCAGATGTAAAAAAATGTGTGTCCGAGAACTGCACGTCACTTTTCAGCAAAGTTATGGGGTAAAAGCTCCAAGAAAAGTGCCTGTTTTACCAAAAGGTAAGAAAAACATGGTTTTAAGATGGGCTTTCAAAACAGTAAAACATTTTTATAAACAATTGTTATTCTGGAATCAGCTAGGTTCCTCTGTTTTCTCTTTCATCATTAACTGTAATAAACGGTTGCCTAGTTTTGGCGCATTCCGGCCTAAATGGCATAGCTTAGCCTAATTGCACTTAGCTATAATGCTGTTGTGAATACAGCAGTGCCAGCGGCAGACACATCATAATTTGGTTATTTTCCAACAGCTTGGCCCGCCATTTCGCGCTAAAGTTTTAATTAAGCTGAGGCCAGGAGCACGTGCAGAATACCCCATTTTGTCCGACTTTTCGTTTATCCACATCCACATCAACATTCACATTTTGCGTTTTGCATTTCTTTTCAGAGCCATTTTCTGCGGCAGACACGCACTCACAGCTCCGCATGGCTTTCATTCATTCACTCATTCAAAATGCTAAACAATTCAAAAAATGTGTGTAACTATTCTCGCCCTTCCGTTCGCCGCCTCTGACTTTCTATTTTTCCATTTCGCAGCAGCTAAATGTGTTGCGCATTTGTCTAGGCCAGCTGAATGTGTTTTCGTTTCGGCCTTTTTCACCTTATTTTTTTTTCGCCGAGTTCCAACTCGGTTCATAATTCAAAAGCTTCTGACGGCTGGCTTTAAAATGCCTGCGGCTGTGGCTGCCATGTTTTATGTTTATTAGCTCGTCTAATTGAAATGTCTAATGGGGGAGTTTATGAAAAAAAAGCGGAAAATCCGCTTCTACCAGGTTCAGAAGCCTTCGAATTGCCACGGGTCCAGGAGACCTTCCCGCTCGAATTGCTTCACCATTTGCTTAATGGAGTCCTGGATGCCAGGGTTGAGATACAGCCGCCTTTTCATATTCATTCCACGCGGCTGATCCGACAGAAGCGCGGCGAAATCCGCATCCGTTTCATCGGTGTTTAACAACACAGGTAGCAGCAGCAGGCCACAATGAACAGCTGAGGGAATATAGATTATCAGTTTATTCTTAAAAAAAAAAAAAAAAAAAAAAAATTCAAAAGGCTCGGAAGTATAAATATTTTATAATTTTTTTCATGTTCATTTCCTAATCCCCTGGAAATTAAGTTTACCCACCATAAAACCGTTTTTGCTCCGACTCCAGGTGAAACTGCTTTCGACTGGGCAACCTCTGACCTTTGAAGCCATGCCTCTGCAGCTCCCCCACGAAGACATCGTGGTACACACATCTCATCTCCATCTGCAGCTCACTCCTCACTTGCTCCACGGCCGACGTGTTGAGCAGATGATGGATGTCCAGCGTGGGCGAACCCCAGAAGGCATACTGAAAGTCAATCAGAAGGACATCGCTCGGCACGCCCGCCTCGTATTTGAACATCATGTTGTTTGTCCACAAGTCGCCGTGGGTAAGGACATTAATGTGCGCCACCTCGGGCTGAAAACAGCGAAGTCCCAGTCCCATATAATAGGGAGCCAGCTCGTCTAATAGTTTCGCATGGCATTCATAGCCCGCCTGAGTATTAAGGTAACTGGCACAGGACTTAAGGCAGCCCAGAAAGTAGGCACTGAAGCTTTCTGTATGACGATTGAAGAAGCCCCTATCGTATTTAGTTAGAGAGAAGGTATGTTCCAAAGAACTGTTCTCCAAAACCGCTGATGCTGCCTGCATTTTGGCCAACTTCCTTAGAACCAAACGCACATGCTGCTCATCCAATCTCTGGAGTCGTGGGGCCATCACAAATTCCTTGTAGGTCAGGTCCTCCATTATGAGGGCTCCTCTTTGACGATCAATGTGCAGCACTTTGGGACATAGTTGTACGCCGGCAAGTTGCTGCAATTTGGGCAGCACTTGCTCGTAAATCTCCAGTTCCCGATTGTAAATATCATATGGGGCCTTCTTTCTTCTGGTCTCGGCGTCTTCATCCTCGAGCACAGTCTTGGCTATCAGATGTTCCTCCACTTTGCTGCTGTACACAAGGCGTATGCGTGATAAAATAGCACCATAGTTCTCTCCTTTCCCTAGAGCGGTTTTTATGACCATCGACTCCACTCGAAGTTCTTTGTTCTGGTAATGGCGACGCAGTGCCGCTTCCAGGTATCCAGAAGTGAGCCAATCTGCCATGACTGCCCTAATCCGACTAAAATTGTTAAACTGAACTACACAGATCAGTAGCAGCCACTGATAACCTAAAAGCTTTCGGTTTACAACTCAGTAATAATTCCAGTTCTTATCGCAGTATAAGCTCACTTGCTATACAGTCACTTTGTTTATATTTTTGGGCTAAAAAAAACTAATAAATGCAAACAGATGGTTGCATGGAAAAACAGATTTGATTAGTTAAAGGCATTTCCCTTTGAAAAAGCCCACTTCAATGCCAAGTGCTGGAAAACCATTACGAATGTAGTCACTGATATGTAAAGTATATAAGCCAGTATCCCATTTATCCATTAACAAATTAGTATTGAAACTCTAGCTATTTTGCTAAAATAACATACCACTAATCTTGACTAACCTCACGAGTTTCCCAACTTGAGTAAGATAAGTGAGATTGGCTTGGCTAACTTTATTGCCGTACGAAATATATGCCAGTATATATATGTATAAATCGGGCTAACATCACCCGTCCCATCAGCTGGTCTAATCGCATGCAAAACCCCTTTCACTCAGTTGGCCCAAACCCTTCCCATTCGCCGGCTGGCAGTGTCACAGTACGGGGCTTAGGCACCTCCGGCTCCGGTCCGGATTCGAGTTCCGGCTTCGATTCCGGCTCCGGCCCTGGTGGCTTGATGCAACTGCTTGCAGTGCGACGACTGGCGCACTCATAGACGTAGTTGGCCAGAAACACCGCAGGAGGGGCAGCTACGTTTGCACCAACCTCCGGATCTGGTGCTCCCATTGTTGCTACTGCAATGTCGAGTGCAGACGTTGCTGGTTTTCCCATTGATGTTCCATTTCTGGCCAGAGATGACGCTCGATTGCAACTGTTTGTGCCAGTGGGTGGCTTCAGCTGCCACATGTGGCCAGTACCCCGCAGACAGTTGGCCTCGATCGCTATAACTACTCGGATTAGTTTGCGTTGAGATTTGAGGTGGGTTTGTAAAGGGTTAATTAACGTACCCATGGCCACTTACCGAAAGAGATGCCAAGCAGGCAGCAAATAAGAAATATGCAGTTCATATTCTAACTTGTTGCAGTTGAATAGCGCACACTGTTTTGCAAACTTATTTACAGACTTTTGGCTCAAGGACTACTCTCATATAAATTGGGTATACAAAATCGGACTGCACTAAGACCTTTTTTGTGCAATGCTTTGGTAAAGTTTCTTGGCCAAACTTTCGACACTTGTTTTTGTTGATGTTTTTATCTTCTGAGGCTGCGTCTTCTGCTGAGTCTGGAATCCATTCAAATTGACGCATTGACAATTGTTTTACCAATTTCATTTCGCTTGTTTTTCGACAGTTGGCCAAAAAGTTTGTACCCTCCACTCCCAGCAACGTTTTGACAACTGCTAAAGCTGCTGCTAGTAAAATTGGCATTGTTGCTGCATTTGTTGCAGATTAAAGTTGCCGCTACCGTCTTCTTTTCCACTTTTCCTGCACTTTTCCCTTCTTTGCATAGCCAGAGAGCTAGTTTATCAAAACATTTTCAAGTTGGAGTGCGGCTGCAAAAACAAAAGCACCCAAGACATCATCGATTTTCTCGAGTGGAATGCGCCTCGATGCGAAGTGGGGATGTGGCAACAAGGAAAACAACTCAATCTCAATGCATGGCACTTAAGCAGCTGTAGGAGCAGTGGCAACAGTGGCAGCCACTTGGTTGCAAGGTGCAGAACGCGCCACGACAGCAGAATGCAATTCTGGAAGGGCGCCAAAAAGGGAGGCAAACGCTGCTGCTTCTCAAAGGGATTATAATCGAATTTTAAAGACATTTTATGATCCCATTCCGTTATTTACAACGATTTCGCATGCCTCTTAAAAGTCAGTTTTGCAATGTACAATTTATATCTCAGGTTGCGTATTTGCGTAATGCGAGAGACTTCAACAACAAAGAATAAGCCCATCCGTAGCCGTATCACCTCCCTCATTTAATTCACTAAAAAGAAACTCAAGCCAGAAAGTTTGCTCATTATAATTACGAAAATGCACTGCACTTGGCAGCTGATTTGGCCATATATACAATAGATGCGTATATATAAAGCCAGAAAATAGATACTTTCAGATCGAGGGGCGTCTTATTAAGTAGATAAGTTTGAAATTGAATTTGAATTGAACAAATGATTGTTACCAATAATACTTAACCTCCCTGTTAGTATAAAAAAAGTAATTTCCTTTTACACATGTGATTCATAAATTTGTATTATATAAGCAAATAAATTCATGTGTTAAATTTGATTTAGTGATGCTTTCAAGTCTCCACAGTTTTTGCAAACACCCCATAAATATATTGCAGCTTTGCACAACTTCTCTGCCGCCCCTCGTGCACAAGCTAGTTCCGGAGCTGTGGCACCTCCAAGAACCTTATCCCATCCGAACGGGGCGCCACACGGAAGCGGGCCAGGCAAACGCTTGGCACGTGCATTTCATTTGATAAATGTTGTCGTTGTCGTTGTCGCCGTCGCCTTTGCCTGATTATGCAGCCCAGCCAGCTATGTGTTTTCCCACTGCCCGACTCCTGCCTCCTGGTCCTGCATACGCCGTGGATGCCAAAAACTTGCCTCGACTTCCGTTATGCAGGGTATATAACCGACTGGGTATATCTTTTTATTGCACACGCGCGCTTGAATATAAACCGCAAAAAGGTGAGGAGCGGAGAGCCTTGCGTTTTTGTATGCGGCATCAGGTTTCGCCTGTGTGTAAAATTTACACTGACATGAGCTAACTAGTCCTGTTTTTGTGCCGGTGTGCGTGAGTATCTCTGGGCGGTGTGCGTGTATTTGTGCCTGGTGTGCGGTATCTGTGTATCTTTGCCAGCCGCACGTTGCCGCTGTAACTTGCAACTTAAATGCGCACGTGATGCGCTGCCTGCGCTTCCTGCGCTTGCTTTATTGCGTGAGCTGCTCGAAAATTAACAAAGTTTTTGCTCAGGTTCCTCACTTTTCATTGTTTCTTTTTCATTTGACGCACTCAAAAAAAAATTTGAATAAATAATACACAGGTTAAACTTTCATAAGTACTGGTTTACCATCGACACCATTAACAATTTCGTATTTTACAAATGATTTGTATTAGATACAGCACAACATGACAGCATACAAGTTCCCATGCATTTCTCTGAGTGCAGAACACAATATGAATGAAGACGCCAGCGAGACAAGTGCGAATGAGCACGACCTGGCATAATATCACGCATACGACACGTTGTCGCAGCGAATTTTTGATAGCTACTGCAATCAGCTAAGTGAACGACGGCAATCAGCCCAGCGGCATAACAACAGCGAGGATAATGATTAAACGGAAGCGGAAGCTGGCAGGCAGACAGCAGATTCGAGTTTTCCAACTTTCGAATGACATTTTTGCAAATGCCAGAAGTCGATGCATTCGAATTATAATCAGGTTGGCTTTGGGGAAACTGGCGAAACTCAGAGCAAAAACTTACGCTCGCGAACAGAAATGGAAAGTCAACACAGACACCCACAAACACACACAGCGAAGATGGGTGGATATCGAAATCAAATCACAGCATCGTCAAATGCATTTAGAGCTATTTGCATTGCTTGGCATTCCTTCTGCTCGCTGAATTCTGCTCCTTGATTCCATCCGATTCAGATGCAGATGCAAATGCAGATGCAGAGGCGGAGGCAGAATCAGATTCAGATGCAAAGGCTGTGCGCCTTGGCATGTGTCACTGGATATTTTTCCTTTTGCCATCGGCTTTTTTCCTGGAACGCTGCATTGCAAATTGATTTTCATCGCCTTGGGGACATGCATTCGACTCGTTGACAGATATTCAGCTGGCATTTTATAGTTTGTTAGTTTCGACTCGAAAATGTCAAAAAATGTAAGACAGCATTGGAAAATAAAAACACATTTTTAGTAAAATTCTAATTACCAGATCTGACAGCGTTTCATCTGACGCTGAGTTCATAAAAGATAGCCTTTTAAAATTCTTCTGGATTATATGGTGCTTTAATTATTGTATCTTTAACAACATGCACATTTTGAAGTTTTTTCAGTTTATCTGTTGTTCAGATATCACAGATCAAGCGTTTCTTTTGTTAATCAACAAAATGGCAGCCATTTTGAGCTTAACACGTTTAATGAACGAGAATAAACAAAATGAAGTGCCAGAGTTGGATTTCCACCTGCATTATTAATGAAGATAATAAAAAGCGTAATGTATTTGCAACTGATTATGGCAGCACATATGAATCAGGTTTAAAAAAAAGACAAATTGTAATTCGAAGCAGAATTCAAAGTTTTTTATTGTGTTAATTATTGACAATAATTATGCATTAATCGGCAACAAATGTATAAATAATTGCTGGGACAATTGTGTGTGCCTTGAATATTGCGCATACGACATGTGCGCCAGCCATATGTACTCAATTTCGATTTCCACGCAATTTCAACATGTTTGCGTAACTAAATTTTGTTGAACAACCATTTGATCTATGTTCGAAAGTTTGTTATAATTTTAGTCTTTTGTTTCCCAAAGCCCGGGAAAGTTTGCCAGGAAAAACCGTGCTCAAATTGAGCCAACAGCCACGTGTTCCCTGCTAAAAACCAACCAGAAACTTCTTCTTTCATCTGCTTTTAATTGAACATTTTTAATTTATGCACAATAAAAACTGATTTACCGATGGCTACCCGTTCGGCTAGAAAAAGTTCAGCTTTAACTTTTTATGACTGACCCAAACAGAAAAAATTATGTCGAGAAGCACAAAAAGAAAAAACTTATGAGCCATAAAAGCGAACAAGGTGTGTGAGCCTGTGTGTCTATGAAAGCTAAACTAAACTAAAGTTTTGGTAGAGCAACTTTTGGTTTTTAGTGCCGGCAGCTTGGTCCATTTTACAGCATTTAAGTGGCCATGAATTTCCCGGCCAGTGAGCATCGGCTGCTAGCAAAACGAGCACGTGGCTCCATAAAGACAACAGGGATTCGGTGCTGAACCCACCCAGATATCAGATATTCTATCCAAAAAGTCGAGCCACCTGCGGGCGCCTTTGTTTTAGCTTCGGCCATTTCCTCCATTTTTCCCGCATCTCAATTGGTTTTGGATTTAATTCCGTCATGGCAGCCAGAACACGTGTGCCCGAAATTGTTTTGAGTCAGTTAGCGTCGAAACGTGGCAGCAGTAAATTGATCAAAGCGAAACACTTTAACGAAAGTCAAAAATTATGTTCTGATTTTCTGAGGAGCAAGCTCTTCTATTCCACAACAATAAGTGTCAAAATGCAATAAATGTAGAAGAACATTTATAAATACATATAAATTTATAATATTTATAATATTCACATGGACACTTATGTCACTTAACAGCCATATTAAATTACATTTTCACACTGGTAATGAAATCATTTCTGCATATATTCCCATTTTTTTAAATATCTAACCATAAGAATACCAACTCGTAACCAAGATGGATCTATACTTGGCTTTCATCCTGGCTGCAATTTCTGGAATTTTTAGTGCACCGCAGCCTGGCGCTGTTTCCGCTCCCTATATATATGTATGTAATCCACCGAATCCTGCTTGTCTGCGCTATAAGCCATTTAATAATACAAGCGCGGATACGAACTAGAAATACTAAGTGAAAATAGTAGGGAAATAAAATATGGAAGCCCCAAAGGTAATAAACCTGGAGTGAAACCTAATTTCGCATGCATTCCTTGGAAATAAATCAATGTAGTTTGTTGATGCAACTATTAATTACTAATTCTATAAACGAAAAAGCAGCATTCCTAAATGAGTATTTCTGTGGTTTCGTAAATTAAGAACATGACACCACCTGCATGGACCAAGGGGCATGACAAATGTAGCACAACAATGCATCACGCAGTCGGAGGTAGGAGGTTGTGGCACTTTGCATTGCATTGTAGGGTTGACAACTGCAATGAAATGACGAAGATGTATGGCTACAAGAACAGGGGAGCCTGATCCAAAGAAATGGGAAGGGAGCAGCAGGTGAAGCTGTTGGATTCGCCTCTTTTTACTACAGTGACAACAAGCTGGGAAGAATCCTGAGCGACAGCGACAAACAGAAACAGAAACAGAAACAGAC